AGATAGATAGATAGATAGATAGATAGATAGATAGATAGATAGATAGAGATAGCCAATATCAAGTGCTGGCGATGATGAAGGAAAGGGATTCATATTTGCTGATGGTTATAAAAATGCTACAGCCACTCTAGAACACTGTTTGGTTCTTATAAAGTTAAACAAATTTACCATAAGATCTAGCAATTGCACTCCTAGATATTTAGCCAACTAATTTAAAAACTTTTGTCCAAACAAAACGCTGCATGCAAATGTTTATAGAATGTTTATTCACAGTCGCCAAAAACTGGAAACCACCCAAATATTCTCCAGTGGGTGACTAGATAAACAAAATGTGGTACAAATAATGAGACTCTCCTCAACAATAAAAAGGACTATTACTATACACAGTAACATGGATGAATCTCCAAGGCATAATGATGAGGGAATAAGGTCAATTTCAAAATGTTACATATTGCATAATTCCATGTGTACGACACATTCACAAAGACAAAACCTTAGCAATGGAGAACCTATCGGGGGTTACCAAAAGTTAGGGATGGGGGGGCGTGGTTATCAAAGGGCAGAACTATGGAGTTCTTTATTGTGCTAGTGGTTACATGAATCCAAACAAGGTTTCAAGATTACAGGATTACATATCAAAAAACCAATTTACTGAATATTAATTTTAAAAGTGAAATAAATTATTAAACTATTAAACATATACAATGTTTAAAGTGAAGCAAGAAGTCTTAAACTAAAAGCAAAATAATGATTGTTTAGAAGTACACCAGGATGGTATGGGTCATCTGCAATATAACGTCCTGTTTGGGGTAAGGAGGCGCGGCTACATCTAGAGGGTGACGTGTGAAGGGCCCAGAGCAGCGAGCAGGTCTTGGCATCAGGGAGGGGAACCATCTGAAGGGGTGGCGTGAAAAAGTCTTTAGAGGAAGGCAAAAAATGGGAAAAGATCAGAGAACCTCTTTGGGAGGTAAAAGGACCAGCTTTGGATTAGGCGTGATGCACAGGCCCCAGCGCAGGGCGTGGAAACTGCAGCCTGGACAGCCTGGGTGGGAGAAAGTTTGAGATGTTTAGGAAGGAACAGTGCGCCAGCCAGGGGGAAGAAACGAGATAGGTGGCCGCAGATGGCTCGAGTCAGGCAGCAGGAAAAGGCAGGCTGTTTAAGCAGCGTTTCCTGCAGTCCAGGCTGAGAGCGCAGAAGGGGGCACCCCGAGGGGCAAGCGTGGGAGAGCCAGAACGGGCGCGCGGGCGCGGGCGCGGGCGCGGGCGCAAGGGCGCTGTGCGTCCTCCCGGGGCTCGCGGCCGCGAGCACGCGCTCTCCGTGCCCGGCCCCGGCGGTGCGGGGGCGGGGCACAGGGCGCGGCGCGCGCACGTTCGCGCGGGGCTGGGGCGGGGCGTGAACGCGACCGGTGACGTCGGGGAAGGGCGCGCGCCGGGAGGCTGCAGGCGGAGCCGGGAGGCGGGCGCTGCGCGCGGCCGCGGGCGGAGCGGAGGGGCGCGAGGGGCGGAGCGGAGCGCGGGAGGAGGCGGAGGAGGAGAGGCCACCGGGACCGCGAGCGGCAGCTGGGGAGGGGGCTGCGGAGCCCGAGCGCGAGCAAAACAGCTGATCTGGTTTTCCTTTAAAGCGAGAGAAAATGGAAGTCGGGTAGCGGCGACTGCGGCGCTGCGGGCTGGCAGAGCGGAGCGGCTCGGCGCGGCAGGTAAGACGGCGCTGGCCGCGGTGCTGCCGGCGGGCGGCGGGGCCGGGCCCGCGGACCAGGCAGGTGCGCTGTCCCGGCGCGGGGCCGGCACCGGCTCCTTCCCGAGCTCCGTGGCGAGGCAGGTGGGCGTTGAGGCCGGGCCACCGCGGGGCCGGGGCGCGGGCCCCGGCTGGGCTCGCCGGCGCGTCTGCATTGCGGGCTCCGCTCTGGACCCCGCGGGCTCCGGGGCCACGGGCTCCGGCCCGGGGTGGCGCGCCTCTCTCGGGCAGGGCGCGGCGCTCCGGCTGGGTCGGTGCTGCTGTCTCCGCTCAGCCCTTTGGCTGTCCGCACTGGAACGTGATGCCAGGCGTGGGGCGACCGGCCCCTCGGTCCGTGCGCGCGCGTCGGGGGTCCCGCGGCTCTGGCAGACGGCCGGGCAGGGCCCGGCCCCGAGCAGCGCGCGAGGCCGCTCGCCGGGCACCGGAGCTGTGGCTGCGTGGGCCCCCGCGGCCCCGCGCACCGCTGTCCCGCTCGCTCTGCTGGGTCTCGCTGGACAGCAGGCAAACCATTAATGCAATTTGGCTGTGAACCCAGAGGCCTTCCCTAATATCTCCTCACTGGAGGGGAAAAAATTGCATCTGCGGTGCTTTAAGTGCTCCTTTAAATTTGGGAGATGTCAGTGATGTCATCATTAACTAAAACTTTCCTTCATTGGACACAACCGCTCAAGTGTACCCTCCTCCCGCCCGGTGAAGCTATTGCAGCCCTTTCAGAATGTCTGTAATAAAATGGATTTACCTCTGCTCTGTAAACTCAGCTACCTCACACAAGTGCAAATGACTTTTATTTCTGTCTATTGACTGGAGAATGAATAGATTTAAGAGTAGCTGAAGGGAAACTTGTGAGACCCGGATCAGGGAATCCCTTCATCCACAGCACAAGGATCCAGGGGAAAGTCATGTATGACATGCACATGGTTACCGTCGGGTGATAGCTTGGTAAATGGAAGTGGGCTGTAAGAGGAACAATTTTTTAAAATATTATGGGGCAGATAATGTGTCCAGGAAAAGGTTGACAGCGGGACCTAAATCTTTACAGGTCTTAATTGCTTCAGGAAAATCTGCAGGTGTCCTTCTTCACCATCCTCCTCCTCCACGGTGTGCCCGGGAGAAGCCTGCCCTGGGCAAAGGCGGGGAGACAGGTTCACTAGGGTCCTCTCAGCAGCTGTGTGTCCCACCACCTTCAAAGGCCTCTTCAAGAGCCAAAGAGGGTTCAGGAGAACAGAGGTAGATCTGAACGGCACTCTCAGGTCTGGATAAACATGCCCCGCTAAATGGGATCAACACTTCGTTATTTTATTGTGCGTGTGCCATTAGTACCAATTCTTATGGGAACAAAACTAAGCAAGTTCCCAAGACAATCTGAGTATCTACTTAAGCCTGTCATATCGAAAGGATATCCAATAAGGGACAAACGTATTGACATTTTCATATTTAATAATGAATGACAACTCCCGATTGGTTAAAATCAGTATGCCTTAAATTATTACTGTGATTGTATTGGGTCTGTAAGGAATTTAATAGCATATGCCACGCAAAAGTTGGAACCTAGTTAGAACTTCGATCTTTTGAACCCTGTATTGGTGTGAAAAGAATGGGAGAACAGTGGTTACTTAGGCCTTTAGTGTTCAGGGTGATAATGGGTGGAAATCACCGCTTTACAAAGTATTGCCACATGCAGGTCTCACCTGGGCCTGGATCATAGGTGGCAGGTGTTCCCTTAGAAAGTAACTCCTGAGGTCCCCAGGCTTGGTGGAGAAGGAGAGGGGACGCCTTTCTCTGAGCAAGTGTGTGTAATTCTTGGCCTCTGACCTCCTGATGGTGCCGCATTTATTCCCAATGGTGTGCCTCAGTGAGATGAGAAACTGGCTCCAAATGAGCTGCTTTTGGATGATACCGTTCCCGCTGTGTGTAGTTGCTTTAGAGCTCAACTCTTGAGTTGTGGCAGAGATTCTTCTTTACAGAGTGTCTTCAGTAGTATGAAGATTGGTTTTTAAGGGTCTGGATTGCAAACTGTGAAAATGGAGTCTGTGAAACCAATCTGGCCCCGTATCCATCTTTTCTTTTTTCTTTTTTTCACCTGTAGACTCGTGAAAATATTCACCACGTTTATGGTTTAACCCACTGTAGTACTTGTAAAACTTCAAATGCAAGTGTTTCCACTAAACCTTTAGGTATGGGTCATTCATTTCCCTAAAACATTTTAAAACATCCGCTTTAAAGCCTCTTCATCCCCCCTTGTATGTTTAGAGTGCTTAAATTTGGGAGCTGTCAGTGATCTCCCAAAAGAGATCACTGTCACATCTTCCGTTTCTAAGAAGTCAAAATTGCCCTGATTTTCTTTCTGTTCCCTCTGGGATCTTAAGGTCATTTATTCATGCCTTAGGCCCACAGAAGAAAGGTTGAATCAGCTCTTGTGGGCCAGCAGGGGGCGTGCTAAACGCGGCTTGGCAGGCATGTGTCGGAGCCACGTTGGGAGTGGGTCGCCAAGTTGAGGTGGGTGCGTGCGTGTGCGCCGGTGTGGTCCGCCCCCGGTTCCCCCCGCCCCTCCCGCTCCGCTCCCGCATGCCTGTCTCCTAAGAGATGGAAACTTAAGAAAGGGTTGGGGGCACATACTTGAATGACCACAGGTTGTGGAGTCTGAAATGTAGGCCTCCCTAGCAGAGAAATTGCTTCAGTGGCTCCATGTCTTTGGAAGGTGGCCCTTAGCACACTTTGAGCCTCACGACTGAGTGCCTTCTCAGACTGCGGAAGTGAGAGTGTTAGTCTGGAGAGGAGAAAGTTGACTTCAGTGAACTACAGGCGGGTGTCCTGGTCAGGGCGTGAATGTGCCAGCCAGGGCAACGCGTGCAAATCCTCTCCTGCACACCCTTGCTGTTTGCTCCTGGCTTTGACTCCCGATTGACTGAAGCCCTGGGACCTTGTGTGGTGGCACTTCCTAGAGGGACCTATTTGACCCCTTGCCCTGGATTATAGGTGGCAGGTGTCCACTTAGGAAGGAACTCCTGTGGCCCCCAAGCCTGGTGGAGGAGGGAGGGGGCACCTTGCTCTGAGCAAGCTGTGTGCACGTCATGGCCTCTGACCTCCTGGTGGTGCCAAATTTGTTTCCATGATGTGCCTAAATGAGATGAGAAGGGCTTTTGGCCTTAAAATTTCTCTGATGAAAAACATTTCATTACTGTGCTTTTATTTTTCCCTAGAAAATGAAAACAAGAAAAAAAAGGCAACTATGCTTTTTCACTTAAAATGTGCTTAATCTGATTTTAAGTGTGTGCCAGGTTATCCAACCACATGTTCCCTGGGAGGCTTTTCCTCACAGCGACTGAGCTCAGAGAGGCCAGCCTGTGCTCCAGGGCCATCTTGGTGAGTTGAGATTGGTATTTCCCATGCTTAGATGGTCATTGCAGCATCTGCATGTGTTACTGAAGACCAAAGACTCCTCTCTTCTCCTGAGGTTCTCATGGAGCCCCCATGCAAAAGGGAATACCACATTTTAAAAGGAAATAAGTTTCGTAGGTGCCCTACTAGAGAACTAGCCCAGTGCTATGACTGGGCGTTTCTTTATGCTTCTCATTCCATTGAAATTGCGTGGAAAACTGAACTATTGATTTCAAGGGGGCAAATGGGAATAACATGTTTTTCAGCTTTAGTGAACCAGGCATTTCACCTTGATTGAACACTGTAAATGGTTAAAGCGGAAGTGCCACTAGATGTAAAATAGGTGATGCCAAATCCCTTTAAAAGCTGTTCATTCTTGAGGACAAAATGGGAATAAAATATGCTGGTTCTTTTTTGTAACGTATTTAATGTGAAAGTATTTTACCCTTGAACCTTGGAAAAAGAATTTTGTTTGCCCATTGGTAGACTGCCATGTCTCCCAAAAAGTTTGTGTGTGAGACCAAGAATAAGATGGCCTTAACACAGATGCCACAAGGGGGGAACCGGCTTCATCACACTTTTGGAATGGCGTTCTTCATCATTCATAGTAACAGACGGGAGAAGTGGGTTAAAAATAAGTCTTTAAAAAGCTGAAATGGAGAGAAGGGCCGGACGCTGCCTTATTACTTGCCTGTGTTGTGGAGGCGTGTTTAGCTGGCTGGTTTGCACACAGCATTTCTGGACCAGGAAGTGGGGGAGTATAGACTAGGATTGGGAGGGAGTGGGCCATGCAGCAGCCACAGCTGGCCAAGGCCTGGCCCGTCATGCTCTAGGCTCCTCATGGCAAAGGGAAAGAGTTAGCCTCCCATGCATCTAAAGCCTTACTTGGTAAAATTGTGTGATTCCACAAAACCCCAGTCCTTGCTATTACCGATTTCTGCTCTACAGCATCTCACATTCTGAGAAGTCAAATACACATTAATGCTAATACAGGTTTTAAATACATCTGTCTTAGTTAAGTAGGTAAGTCTAAAGTAAACTTATTTTGTAGGATTGAAGGATTTTGAGTTTCTCCCTCCAAGGAAATATTTTCTATTTGAGCATAGTTTATTCTTAACCTAGTTTTCCTTATAAATATAATGGAAATTTGATGTCTGAATGAATATACATGAGTAAGATGCAGTATTGACTTTTATGAAACATAAAATTAGACCTTTGAAATTCATTTCCTTGTCTGTTCAGCGTTTCATTTGTTTTATTAGATTACTGTTAAGTTTCACATGGTGCTGGGGATTGGTGTGAACAGACCATACACCCATCCCTCTGTGAGATTAGATTAAGTTTCTCAGTTACTGAGACAAAGGTTTAGGAGCTCACTCGAGAGGAGGTGGCTGCCTGGAGTGAGAGCAGACATCTGTCTGTGGTGCAGACGGGTTGAACCTTGCTACCTCTGAGAAGACCCCAGTTTTCCTGCCTGCAGGGCTAACACACCCATCTTCAAATAATTTACCCAAATAATCTCTGCGCTCACATTTTAGGAACTTTCTGTGAATTAAGTTCTCCGAGTTTTTACAGTAAGCTCAG